AGATGACCGAGGCTCCAGTTTTGGCACTTCCAGATTTTGACAAAGTGTTCGAGGTAAATTGTGATGCATCTGGCGTTGGCATTGGTGGTGTTCTGAGTCAGGCAGGTCGTCCGGTTGCTTTTTTCAATGAGAAGCTATCGGGATCAAAGAAAAATTATTCCACTTATGATCTGGAGTTCTATGCCATAGTTCAGTCCCTGAAGCATTGGCGTCACTACCTAGTACAGAAGGAGTTTATTCTGTTTACCGATCATGAGGCCTTGAAGTACATCAATGGCCAACACAAGCTGAGTAGACGTCATGCCAAGTGGGTAGCATACTTGCAAGAATTCACTTTTACGCTGAGGCACCAAGCAGGGAGTTTGAACCGCGTCGCAGATGACCTGAGCCATCGTACCTTATTTCTCACCACCATGAGTACTAAAGTTGCAGGATTTGAGACGTTCACAGATATGTATGCAGCTGATCCTTCCTTTTGAAGGATATTTCAGGAGGTAACTGAGGGTCACCGTCATGATTTTGTTTTGCATAATGGGTATCTGTTTCGTGGATTACAATTGTGCATTCCAGATTGTTCATTGAGGCAGCAAATTATAAGTGAACTCCATAATGAGGGACACTTTGGCCGAGATAAGACATTGGCCCTTATCTCTTCTGAATTTTATTGGCCCAAGTTGACTAGTGATGTGGCCCATTATGTGGACCGTTGTTATGTGTGCCAGTGGTCTAAGGGAGTTCTCACCAATGCGGGATTGTACACTCCCTTACCTATTCCTGAAGCTCCTTGGTTCGATGTCAGCATGGATTTTGTACTAGGCTTACCCCGCACCCAAAGGGCCTCTGATTCTATCTTTGTTGTGGTTGACAGGTTTTCCAAGATGGCTCATTTTGTAGCCTGCAGAAAGACTATGGATACTGACCGGATTGCCCATCTCTATTTCAAGGAGATTGTGCGTTTACATGGTGTTCCTTGATCCATCACTTCAGATCGTGATACTAAGTTCATCAGTCATTTCTGGAAGAGCCTGTGGGGGAAACTGGGAACGCAGTTGAATTTCAGTAGCGCCTACCACCCCCAGATGGATGGCCAGACTGAGGTGGTGAACCAAAGTTTGGGAAACCTTTTAAGGTGTTTGGCAGGAACGAAGCCGAAGCAGTGGGATTTGGCATTGCCTCAGGCAGAATTTGCCTACAACAGATCAAAAAATAGAACCACAGGTTTAAGCCCATTTGAGATTGTCTATGGTCAGAACCCATCCGGGGTGTTGGACTTAGCCCCTATTCCACGTATAGGACGTTTTAGTCCTAAAGCAGATGAGATGGCAAAGTATCTTCAGGGTATCCATGAGCAGGTGAAACAGACCATTCATGAGAGCAATACCAAGTACAAGACTCGGGTTGACAATCATCGTCGTCAGGTACTTTTTGATGTTGGTGATTTTGTTTGGGCTGTATTAACTCGTGATCGTTTTCCTGTTGGTGAGTATAATAAGTTTAAGGATCGGAAGATTGGACCTTGTGAGGTCGTGCAGAAGATCAATGATAATGCTTACAGGTTGCGACTTCCAGTCACTTGAAGACTTCTGATGTCTTTAATGTGAAGCACTTGAGTCATTGTTTTGTGGATCCTGATGACACTACTCTGAACTCGAGGACGAGTTCTTTCCAACCCGGGGTGACTGATGCAGGGGGATCCGAGACAGATGATGCTGAGCTGTCAGATTGCACGTTGATGGCGCTGAGATACCATGAGTTGGCAGATCAGCGCAAAGGCGGGAATTGATTGTGACATGTTCCTCATTGGGGTCGTTTTGAGTATGTTTTAGTCTTTTGGCCATAACTTTTGCTACAGGTGTCAGAATCGCGCATAAGACCCCAATCCGGAAAGCTCTTTTCGACGTGCACGCTCTCCACATGAGCTATGCTCCATGTGGCCTTTTTTTCAACCTCAAATTCTGCCGTTTTCCCCTCTGAATCACTAGATTTAGTTATTTTTTACTATTTATGGTAATATTTCGATTGTTAATTAGGAAGTCAATTTAAATCCGATTTAGGCCGGATTTTTGGGAGATTGCTTATTTTATTTCGAATTTCAATTTAGAGTGATTTTCGGGATTTTGCTATTTTTGGCAAAATTCGAATAAAGACGATTTTTTTGCTATAACAGTCCGGCTTGTGGACTGCTTTTTGATAGTTTTGATTTTTTAATATTTTATTAAACCCTAGAGACTTTTTCTCTGGTTTTTGGGCGAATTTTCTCTTGTGAATCGTCTGTCGGAGCTAGCCTACAGGATAATCACTATTCTGTCTGGCGTCACTTAAGTCTTCTCATCATTATACTCGTTTATAAGATTTTGGCGGCCTAGGATAAATTTAGAAATTGGGTCTCTAATTATAAATATTAAAAAAAATTATTTATAAATTATATTTTTTATTACACTCAACAAACTATCTAATAAATATATCAAATTTCACATAAAAACATAAAGAAAATTTATTGAACATTCAACTACTACATAAAACAATTTTTATGAGCATTTCTAGATGCAAAATCATTAACAATAATGTCTATATCAATATGATCTAACATATTTTTTTCAATAAATAAAAATGATAGACCATTCAATCTTTCTTGTGACACACAACCTCATATAGGTTTTCAACAATTTTAACTTCGAAAAACTTCTTTAAGTTGATGCAACCATCAATATCATAGTTAAGAGAATTCAGTAAGAAATTGAAACATTTGGACAACAATCCGCTACTTTAACAAATTTGAGAATTTCAAATGCTGACATTAACTCATTTGGAAAAGTCATTTGTAACACCAATTCTAAAAAAAAGATCTTACGCATCAATACCAGACAAATCATTATGAGAAAAAACAATCTTAAAATTCATTCAAGATTTTCGTAATTCATCATTGCCCAAACATTTTAATCTTTTGGAATCAAATAAAAATCCAAAAATATTGTCAAATAATTTTAATTGTTCAAATCTATTTTTTTTTTAAATAAGTTATAGTTAAGTCTATAATCACATGAAAATAATTATCTCTAAAAGATTCTTTGGGTGATTGTACTTCTTCTTCATTATCATTCTCACCAAATTGTCTTCTTTTTGTTGGAAGTGTTGGTTTTATATTCATATCAGTTGTTATGCTTATGCTAATATCCATGCAAGACTCAAACCCTTCATTTCTATATTTCTCAAAAAATAGCATTACACTTTCCAATTCATTAATTGTGAAGAGTGATTTAAATAAATAATATTGTTTTGATAATTGCTCCTTGATTGAACTAATTATGTTGTTGATTCGGGCATTTTCGTTCATTTTCTGTGCAGGACATTGGATTCCAGAAATAGTACTAAAATGGCTCAATTCTGTAATTTTTTTCTAGAATCAAGCCTGGCTTAGTGGGATTGACTCGAGGCATGACAATATCCGACGTGACATCCACGTGGCATCTAGAATGTATAGTCAGTAATTCTGGAAGGCAGACGAGAAGATCAGTTTCATTTTTGAATTTGAATTAAAATTATCTTCATGAATTATCTTTTTATCTTTTAGGAATTATCTTTAGGATTTAGTTTTGAACAAATTCAAGAAATTATCTTTTATTATTTAGAATTTCATTTTTAAGGTTCTAGGAGAGTATAAATACCCATCGGGGTGTGCCAAAAGAATCATCTCACATATCTCAGATTCGCTTGTTCTTTCTTTATTAGTTTTATAAAAGTTCTTTCTTTTCTTTTTGTTTTCTTTATTTTTAAATTGCTAAGTATGGTTTCTACCATGCTTAGCTAAGTATTTCATAGTAAAAGGCTGAAGCTATGACTCAATTTCGATCGTGAGAATTGAAAAACACCTCATACCCTTTATGTTACATTCTGAGTTTTCTGGAATCAATGATAGGCAATAGGCCATCCTTTTATAATAAAAAATGCTTTCTTTTTCAAAAAGTGCACGTTTGATTAACAATTGAGACGAAGGATCAGCTTGTAGCATATTCGACTTCTTGTGAACACACTTAACTACGTTTCACTAAGGAAAATTGAGATCAGATTCGATTCTCATTGAGACGCTATAGACCGAGTCAGATTTTTCCAAATCTTTTAATTGAGTTGGCTCTAGTAATGATTGTCTCGATTAGTTCACAAAAGGACTGAGATCCAAAGATTGATTTTGGATGATCGATTTACTTGAGAAAAGAAAACAACCTATAGAGGTTGGGCCATATAAATTGTAACTGGCATGAATCCGAAGCTAAGATCCTTTTGATGATCGATCGAATTTGAGACAAAGTGAAAGTCTCCCGTTATTCTCATGTTCGGTATCATGGTTAGTGTGGGTATATTTTCTTAAACTTTGAAACCTCCACGCTGTTCTACACTCGGACCCCTCTATTTCTTATATCCTGGTTTCATGCTCGTGCGTTAGCATCGTCAAGTCCCATCAGGAAAATGCTTCCGTTCGCCATTATTTGGTCAATTTGGATATTCAGAAACGAAATCATTTTTAATAACAAGAGATTCGACGTTTAACAGCTATTTATTTGGTCAATTTGGATATTCAGTTTTAGAATTTTTTATTTTTAGATATATTTTTATGAATTGATGTTAGAAAATTTCTAAATGTATGACGTTGACAAGCTAGTTATAGTTGAAGAGTAAAATTATACATTATCCTTTGAGTTAATGTGTCCCGTCATCATTTTCTTACGAGATTGTTAAGGGCCGAATGATCATATTTTAATTTTTTAGGTTGGACAAAGAGGAAGGCTTGCACATAAATTTGTTCTAATTGCATAATTTACCAAATTTGTAAAAATCAAATTTCCAGTTCAACCATCTATTATTTAGTTTAAAATTTTAGATAGAGTAGTTCATATATTTATGATAAAATTTTAGATACAGTACATTTATATATTTATGATGAAATTTTTGTTACATCCTAATACAGTACATTCATATATTAACGATATGAACATTCTGCATGGGAATGGAGGATTATAGTGTAAGTTATGTTTACGCAGTGGGGTAGGATGCTTGCATTGCTATGCCACAAAGACCTTCCTTTGCATCAACATCCCTTTCCATCCTAATGTACCCTTGTTCACCCCAGGTACTGCCCCACGAGTTCTTCACCAACCAATACTTAGTCCCATCGTCATCCTGTCCATATCCAACGGCGGTCACTCCGTGATCCAGTTGCGTGCCACAGGGTCCCGTAAATACACCACTTGAGTAGAACTGGAAATCGAAGCCCCCGGCATCGATTGCAACCGAAACCGGTTGGTTGACAATGGCCTTCTGCAGTGCATCTTCACTATTGGCGGGCACATCTTGGAAGCCTTTAATGGTAGCTGCATGGTTGGCTTCCTCGTTGGCATTGCATGTGTCATCAACTCCCTTGTAAGGGTAGTTGGATTCGGTTGTTAGGCCTTTGTTCTTTTGGATGAATCGGAAGGCATCGTCCATTAAACCACCTTGGCAGCCTTGATCCTCACCTTTGGTGTCGCAGTCGACAAGTTCTTGCTCAGACAAGGAAATCAATGTACCTGTTGTTAGCTTAGTAACCCCTTCCATGGCTGCCACAGCTGAAAACGCCCAACAGCATCCTGTGAATAAGAATTAGATCAACACAATTAGTTAGAAAGAACATTAGTAAAACAAAGGTTAATAATATTTAAGATTAGAGCAGACCGCATTGGCCTTGGTCCTTGATAGGTGTCACAGCTCCTTTCTTTCTCCAATCCACAGAAGGCAATGCGGTGACGTTTTCGTATTTGAAAGTAGTAGCCTTGTTGGAACACATATGGCCCTTGAACCCATTTCGAGAAGCAGTGAACTCTTCATTTGTTAGATCTGCGAACTGATTCACAGCAAGCTTGTAAGGCTTGTTATTGGCGTTGTTGAAAGAGTCAATGAGCGCCACGTTTTGTTTGAAAATGTTGAAACGCTTTTGCCTCTCATTGTTGTCACTGTAAATTCGTCCAAATTGCGACATCCATTGTCGATGCCTCTCGTACATTGATGCATCTTCAACTGTAGTGCGGGAGGTGGCTTCACACACTAAGTTGGCCCCCACTAATACTATCAAGGCTATTATAGCCAAATATGTGAATTGCTTTTTGGAACCCATTCTACAATGCTCATCTTAGGCTTCTACTTAAGCGTTCTGTCCCTCTACAATGCTCATCTTAGGCTTCTACTTCATATACATATTTCAGCTTGTATTCATCTTAGGCTTCTACTTCATATTTCAGCTTGTATACATCTTAGGATTCGACTTCATCTACATATTGCTAGACTTGTACGTTGTCGTATTATTGCTGCTGGAAAATTTGAAATTCGGAGCAGTCTGATTTTGTATTCAAATACCCTCTCATCATGCATCAATCAAACCGTGCCGTTTCCTTCATCTGTCAAGCTAGAATTAGAGTAAATTGGTAATCAGCCAGGGGAGGGTTATAATGGGTGAAAAATATGGAAAATTCCTTTAAGCTCCTTAAAATCTTTTGAAAATTTTAATTTTGTAACACCCCAAAACCTAACTTGAAAAAATCTAGTGAATCTGAATTGCCATATTGGTCATCAAAAAGGCTAACTTATAAAATGAATACCATTTTCACATTTTTCACATTTGCCTAATATATGAAATAGCAAAAATTTAATAGAATTTACAAATCAATTATAACTAAAAGTTCATACATTCACACATGTCCACTTGAGAAAGTAAAGGTACCATCTAAATGATAAAAGTTAAACCTCATACGATGATGAGACTATTCGGATTTGATGCATAGAGAATGATTTCTAACGTTGAGTTTTGTTGTTCAATGAGACAAAATTACTTTATTATGCCACATGAGAATGATAAATTCAAACATGCTAATCATACATACAAATAATAACATGTAAAACTAGACAAACATATTAAAACAATTATCATATTTTTATTATCATGCTTACAACATTACCGAATGACATATCAATACCACAAAATCTATATTCATCAAAATATCAATTCGAATCATGATCCCTTATATTTACTTATTTTACAATAAATGCCTTTGTAAGAATGAAGCACGTGTCTTGCCTTAAAATTTTGAATCCACTTATGACATTCAAACGTGCAATAATTGAGTTCGTAAGAAAGATGCACTTTTTTTGCCTTGAAAATTAGAACCATCTCGTGCATTTTTAAAACACATGACTTCTAGATAGAGTATGACAAACTATGACAAATTCTTTTCACTTTAATTATAAAAAATGTTTCACACAAACAATCTCTTTTATGAAATAAGTTTTCTTTTTAACCAAGTAATTATCTTGATTATTAAATAGTAAGGATTAGAGCTAGAAGTGAATCTATTTTGCAAATCCTCTTCTATTTTTCTGTTTTGGGCTTTAGTTAAAATTCTCTTCTTTTAACCTTTTTTTTTTGCAATATGATTTTTAGTCAAAACTTGGTGTCTATTTTAACATGCGATCATTATACTTGTTGTTATCTTATCAAATATTTTATTAGTTTCATAAAATAAACTATTACTTTTCATATATGTTTAGAATTTTCTAATTTTTAAAGAAATTTTTTGAATTATTCTAGATTTATCATTAAAAATTTATAAAAGTATCACACTAACATTTTAGTACATTATCCCATGAGTTAACATGTCATGCCATCATTTTGATAAAGGATTTGTAACACCTTAATCTCACGTATTAAAGTGTCATACGAAATCACTAAACTTACTAACTATTTTCTTCGAAATCATACTCAACTTTTAAAACATTTAAACCAATTGTGAAAACATAATAATTTACAAAAGTGAGATCCCAATTTAAGAAAAACCCAATAAATAAATAAATGAAATATTACAAATTGAGTTATTTTCAAATCATAACCTCACTGTCCCACTAAGTCATCATCGTTATACCTCTGATACTCCGCTGAGACTCCTTTGATGATATCATTGTCCCATCACACTCTATATAACATCTAAACTGCAAATGGAAACACATTCATAACAATGAGCTCACAAGCTCAACGTTAGACAAAACCTTTACCATACCACATGCATTCATAACATAAGCATGCCAACAAGTATAGTCAGAGAAGAAAAACTATCAATGTCATCAATGTTATCTAGCAAAATATCTCATGTATATCCACATCATAATCTCAATCACAATAAAACATAAGGACGAGACTTGGGTCATAAAGCTCAAACACCCATCCAAATAAGGCTCGAGCCACGAAGCTTGAACGCTAATAAACAAAACACATATAGGCATCATCATATGCAATACACAATTAACATACAATCATAATGATAATACACGGTATCAGAATAGTCGTCAGGTACTAATCACATATGGGGAACCTGGCATCATGTAAGCCTCGGTAAAATTCCCACCTATTATACAAATGTTCTCTTGGTCTCACATAGCTATCAGGTAAAGATCATGGAGAGAAACCCAATCATCATATAACCTTAGTACAAGTATAGCTGAAACATAACATTGGCATAGTTTCATATAGTCATTCATTACAAATATCCATCAATCAAACATCAATGCAATCATATATGCATACCTTAGTCTGGTCATTTGTTCGTGGGTGATATGTTGTGGACATCTTGTGCCTTACTCGTATCAGTAAAGTGCTCTAACAATTAACTTGTTGTCAAAGTGGGTTACTTCATCACTTATAATGACTTTTGGGGTTCTGAATCTTGTAAATATATTATTTTGAAGAAAATTCATGATGGTCTTGGAGTTATTATGTTTCGTTCCATTTTGATACGTAGTCCACTGCTAGTAAGATGTACAAATCTTCGAACGATGAAGGAAATAAACTCATGAATTCAATCCCCTATACATAGAAAATTCATGCCTTTGAGAGATATTCCCTATTCGTTGGAACCTATCGCAAGACTTGTAAGAGTCTTGAGCATCCTTAAAAAGTGTCATCCAATAGAATCCATATTGTAGGACCTTTGTAGTAGTCCTTGAACCTTCAAAGTGAAAATGGTGAAGAATCTCCTTTTATCCCTTTTCGGTGATACACCTTTGAATCGTCTGATCCATGCATTGCTTGAATAAGTAAGGTTTATCACAATAGTATAAGGGCACGTCATGCCTGAACTTCTTCATTCCCTCACTATTCAAATCATGAGGCAAAATACCACTAACAAGAAAATTAACAATGTCAGCATACCACAGAATTGTCGTAGCAAATAAGAATTTCTCATCAGGGAATTCCTCTTTAATTTTTATTTCCTCATCGAGTTCAACCTTATTCTCTAGCATAGACATATCATCATCAACTTGATTTCAAGTCCTCTTTCTATCTCTAACCTTTAAATCAAACTCTTGCAAGAGAAGTATCTACCTAATAAGTGTAGATTTTGCATCCTTTGTAGTCACTATGTATTTAATAATTGGGTGATTGGTATGTACAATTACCTTAGGGCCTATCAAGTATGTCCTAAACTTATCAAATGCAAATACCACAACTAGCAATTATTTCTTAATGGTTGTGTAATTAATTTATGCATCTTTTAAAGTGTAACTGGTATAATAAATAACATGAAATATCTTACCTCGACATTTCCTATGTATTGCTCCCACAACGTAGTCACTCGCATTACATATAAGCTCGTATGATGAAGTTCAATACAGGGGAACAACAATGGGTGTTGAGATAAGTCAATCATTCAAGTCCTTAAATGCGCTGTATCAATTGTCCTTAAACACGAAAGGTTGATTTTGTTGTAGCAAAATGCATAGTAGCTTGGAGATCTTGGGGAATTCCTTTATGAATATCCTATAGAAGCATGTATGTCCTAAGAATCTTCAAATGCCTTTCAATGTAATGGGTGGAGGTAGCTTTTTAATCACTTTAATATTTGCTTTATCCACTTCTACCCCTTTTTTGAGATCTTGTGCCCTAAAACATTCTCTTTGGCCACCATGAAGTAGCATTTCTCGCAATTCAGTAGCAAGTCAGCTTCTTCTCATCTTTTAAGCATAATTGCAAGATTTCCCAATTAAGAATCGGAGTTATCTCCTGAGATAGAAAAATTATCCATGAAGATCTCCTAAAATTCTTCAACCATGTTTGAAAATATGGCTAACACACCCCTTTGAAATGTGGATAGAGCATTACAAAGTCCAAAGGGCATCTTCTGAAAGGTGTATAGAAATTTGATCCTCTGGCAGTATAGAGATTTGATTGTGAATGTTATCTTCTTTTGATCCTCTGGAGTTGAAATGTACCACAGTCACCTCATTTTTTGGTTACACATTGTAGATGGTTAACCCACGAACTATTGGATATTGGATAAATAATTCTAGCGTTGAGCCATTTAATTATCTCATTTATCATCACCTTCTTCATAACTAGAATGAGTCTTATTTGGGGTTTAATAGAATTATCATGCATTCATCAAGCAAAATTTTGTGCATGCAAATAGTAGGGCTTATTCCTATAAAATCAGCAATAGTCTAACCTAAAGCTTTCATACGTTGAGCTAAAACATTTATCAAACTACGTCCTTGTTTAGGTTTAAGACTAGATGAAAATAATCAAAAACAAAGTCTCATTGCAACCCAACTACACATATTTAAGGTGTGATGTAAAAGGCTTTAATTCTAATGTAGATGCATGATCAAGTGATGATTTAGAAGGAATAAATTTAGTAAAATGTAAAGTTTTGAATTGCGTACCTGATTTAGCTATGAGTAAGCTAGAACGTTGTACCTCCGTTTGAAATTGCTGGAGTTTCTTTTCAACTTGTTCATTGAGCTTCAAGAAATCCTCAATTTGCAAAAAATTGCTACAACAAAATTCTGCAACTTACTCTTCTACCATAGAGCCTACATCTTGAATGTATTGACACTACTCAAAATCATCCTTATATTTGAGGTTGTTAAAGATATTGATAGTTACCTTCTGATAAGCCACTCGTATGGTGAATTCACCCATTTCAAAGTTAATTAAAATTTGGCTGGTGGCTAGAACTTGTCATTCCAAAATGATGGGTGCATTATCATCAGCTTCGTAATCAAGGATGAGGAAGTCAACTGGGAAAGTAAACTTTTCCACCTTCACCATGACATATTCAATTATCCTTT